TAAAAGGCCGAACTCTTCTAGTCTAAAAAAAACTCATTTGTTGAAATGGGGCGGCCTATTGTTTGAACTCCTTAGAGGCTTTAAAAACAAAAATGTCTTTTTTTGCGCTTTATGAAACAAAGTAGCCTATATTTTGTGGATGTACAGCTACATTTCTCATGTAAGTTTGCGTAGTTTTAACACAAATATTTATTTTTCCTATTGCACCAGTACAGTTAATGAGCAACCTGTACTTGTGTGCTTGTTTGTTCTGTCTAAAATTTTTATTTTGGAATAAAGAGGTTAATATAAAAAATATTTTTTGTCCGATTCATCGATTAATCGAAAAAATAATCGTCCGATTCATCGATTTTTAAAATAATCGTTAGTTGCAGCCCTAATATATATATATATATATATATATATATATATATATATGTAGATCTGTTAACATCTCTAAAGGTATTTGAATGCCCAGTTAACTTGGTGTGCTCAAGCCAAATCCTTCTTCAGCTTGCTACTAGTTGGTGTGTGGCCATGACATGATGGCAGCCTTACAAAGCCAACATAATCCGCCTGTCCTGGACTAATCTAATGCCTCAGACCTCTAAACAAACACGGTTTAACTCCCTTATTCCGCTACGTTCCTTTTGACAGCCAACTCAATGCACAACAGGTTTAAAAAAGGTGAGCTGCAAACCTGTAGGCAAGTCTACAATGCCTACTGAGAAGATGTATATTTATAGAGTGATAATTTTGCAGCAATTCTGCAAAAGCAGTTGAGAAAGTCATAAAGCCGTTATACAATTGCTTTTACACTCAGTTCCCAACAGCTTGTTTATCACTGACATAAAACTGTTGAATAGGGAAATGGGAATTTGCTTGACTCACATTGCTCATGTTCGACATCGAGTGCTAAACATCCCACCCCCAACGTGATGGCTCCGTCAGTCTCATAAAATGTGTCTGGCAAAGCTCCTAACACCTTCATCATGATTAGCACAAATTACTTCCAAAAACGATCCACTGAACACAAAGTGAAAATATTTTTAAAGAGTCAGATAAATGAAACACAGCTTTCCTTTTCTTTTTGGGAAAATAGAAAAGGCTGAAAGTGTTACAGCGGAGGAGACGCACAAAAGAAGCCAAGGATGCTCAGATGAGCCAAAGCCACCAGACCTTCTACATGAATGAATTCAATTTTAGGCCAAATCCTCTGGGCCTCATGTTGGTATATTACCATCTTTTGTATTGATTCTAGTATGACAAGACCAAGAAGAATGTGTAATAAATCTGAAGATTAAACACCCTTGTAAGTAAAAATCAATGACAGACGAGTTAGTAAAGAAAGCATACAGATTAACCACTCCTTAAGCTTCTGCAAAGAGCTTCAATCTTAACAGGTACATGAAATGAACGACAATCATCCTGGCAAAGCTGTTGTTGTTCTTCGCAGTAAAGCCATTTATCTCTATGGTCAGATGAAGCACTAAAATTGATATGCTCTGCATTTTACAGCCAGGATATCCAAGATTGATCAATTATTAATGCTTTTTATGCTCTGGGAGCCATGCATGGGATCTACACAGTGTGGGTTGTACTTCCTGTATGTCATAGAAAATAGTAGCCATCAGATCGGCTAGCCTACGATGGTTGCTCACCCAGCCCACACACTAACTATAATACCTGCTATAATCCCATGCTAAACCATAAAGCAGAAGTGTTAGTTTTGTTTCAACTTCTGAGAGGTAACCTACAATATGTTACCCAAACTAGTACAAAGGCATCCAGCACATTAACTCTGCAACACAGGGAGTGAACAGTTCAGGAAGGTGGATTCAATTATTTTATGTTTTTTTGTAATGGTCCAGTAGGACGAGGTACCAGATTAACTTGTAGCTGTGTGTAATTATGTATTTAGCCAAGAATGCTGAAGGCTTGGTAGGAACAATTAAACTCAAAGTTTTTTTCTCTTTTTTATTGCTTTAGGAACTGGTGGATTAATGTACACAATGAACAAGAAAGCACTCTTTCAAAGAGAGCAGGACACCTTTCCAGGCGGTCTTCTCTAGGATTGGTTTGGGTGTACGGTGAACAAAGATCTGCATTACCTCTTTTTCTAAGGCAGATCATTTCTGTCAAGATTTTCTTTTATGCTTTTCTTTGGGCAAACACTTTTCTTGAAAAGGACTATTTTACAGTAGTCATTAAGTACCAGAAAAAAGAGGGGGATTTAGCCTCCAGGCGTGGCATGCTGACTACATTAATATGGCTCTACATTAAGGATGTTTCCCACCCTTTGTGATAAACAATCATGAAGTATTATCCACTTTAAAGGAGAGTTGGTAATGTATTATTTTTTTCTAAACAATGTATAAACAGTTTGAATGAATAATTATTAGGGCTATCCCAATCAGACATTGCTATTAGATTATAGCAGCCTGCAGCTCAGACATTGGCATGCTGATACGAACACTCTGCTTCTGTTTACAGTTAATCAGTGGTTAATAGCACATGGCTCCTTTCTCATACCCACTGATGATTGTTCTTTGGGTAATGTAACTGATTGATCCTTTTCTAACAACAAACACAGGAAAAAAAGTAAGAAAAGCAAGAATGATTTACACTGATTTATGCTGAAATCGCATTAGGTCAGTATTGGGTTGCGATATCCTTTTGGATTGGAAATTAAAGTTTTCCTGATAATATCAAATTAATCATACCTGTGATTTGTACATTTTAAGCTCCACTCATAACCTTATGTTCTCTGTTTGTTTTTTTCTCATCACGGTAGCTTTATCTGGACTGTTGCTGTTCGGCTGGGACTCCATCCTGAATTGAAATATCAGCTGTGCTGCTGCCATCGACATCTCTGTTTATAGATATTGGAGCTTGGCCTGTGATTAGCAGAATTGGCTTGGAGCTCGTCTGTCTGGCTGCTTCTTCCTGGACGGGGCCGCCCGTGGAGCTAGTTAACAGTTTTGTATCTTTTTCTTTGTCTGCTTCTGTCTCCTTGAACCCCAGTCAACCTCAGCAGATGACTGAGCCTGTTTTTGCTGGAGGTTAATTCCTGTTAAAACTGAGTTTTCCTCTCCACCTACACTCCATGCATGCTTGGAGTGAGGGATAGCTGAAGAGTCGTCAATAAAATGCAAGCGAAAAGCAAGGTCACCAGCTCATCCATTGCAAGTCAATGACTCAATGCAATCAACTGGTTTTCCTAACCAATCTGACAGTGTAAATGTAAATAAACCGAAGTGAATTTATGATTTACTCTTAACTCATCACATGCAAAATTAACAGGAGAAATAAACTAACATAAAATTGCTAGGCGCTGACTAAAGGTAAAATGAGATTAGTTAATATCCCTTGATCTAATTTAACCTATAGACTACAGACGTGTGTCTGTTTCTGTTGTTGTTTGTTTTGGCAGCCAATGACCACATTTTTTCCAGGATATAATCTTATTTTTATACATCTCCAATAAATAATTTATACTAACATGAGATCATTCCAACAGTTACGCTCTCATTGGTGTTTAAAATGCAACTGAAATGTAGCCTGTGCGACTCCAATAGATAATATCTATTGGCTGAAAGTGAATTAGACTCACTTTGTTCAAACCAGAAACCCTGATCTATCATATCTCTTTGGACTCAAGAGGCCCAAAATGAGGATCACTTCTGGCGATCAGTGATTAAATAAACAAAAGCAGATATGAAATGAGCGACAAATTGAAGAAACAAAACAATTACTAAAACTTTTTTGGGGATTCAGCAAACAAACTGTCAAAGAGTTGGGGGGTTCTGTAAGTGACTGATTTCATCAATTCCCTAACACATAAAATCAATAAAGGCAGATCGTTCCAAATTTCTATAGTACCAAAATGTCCAAATAAACCACAACGAGCCACCATTTTGTAGGTTAAAAAGTTTCATTAGTGAAGACTTTATTCCAGGACATAATCAAAGCCAGAAGGAAACCATGTTCACACTGCTCTTACAGCCCAGTTAAAGAAAGGAAACACGTGAGAGGGATATAAGAAACCCCTCTCTGGGTTTCTATGGGTCCATTCCACTCAGGACCCCCCGGGGTCCCAGGTTCTTATTTCTGTCTTACTATTATTTTATCAAAACAATCCATTATGAGTGCACTCACACGTGCGTTTTTTCACAGTTAATAAATGTTATTGGGATAGCTGACTGTAAGGATTCTCTGTTAATCCTTTATAGGGCATACCCCTTACAAAAGTAGTTACCTTCGTCCCTTAGAGAGGTCTAGAAGCACAAGATCCAAATCAAGATTGCAAATCGATTAATCTGTCGATTATTTGTTTAATTAGTTTAATTAGTGGATAGCAAAAGACTTTTTAATCTTTCTGCATGTTCTCTCTGTGCATGCCTGGGTTCTCCCCGGGTACTCCAACTTCCTCCCATAGTCCAAAAACATGACTGTTGGGTTAAATTAAGTTGAAAATAAGTTATCAAGTTAAGAAAAAAAGGGTGAAAAGTTAAAAAGTAATGTTACAATTATATTGAGATTTATAAACTAAAAAAATATAAGTGCCAGTATCAGCATTAATGCCTATTAGGTTATGTTGCACCAATAAAAAAGTGTTTCTTTCACTCTCAGAGTGCATTTCTTATAGAAACACTTTTGCTATTTTTTTTTTTGCCATCAAAATATCTATATTTTTTGAACGTTACAAAGGTAATAAGGTCTTGTTCTGGATTCCAATAACACTGTTGGCTTGAAACAAATATTTCTCTCTAAAGGGTTAAACAGTAATAGTTAGCATTTACCTAGCAGCTCTTTATTGGCTGTTTAAAGGAGAGCTAAGTTAGCTCTCAGATGAAGCTAACTAACGTGCGAGCTTAGCAGGCTGGCACAGTAACACAATGAGCTGAGCTGGCTAGCTGCTACATGCTGTGTTCCAGCTAGCCACCAAACGTTAAAGGGCTAACCATCCGGAGCAACGTTAACAATGATGGAAAAACAGTTTAAAAACAGACCAAACTTACCGACTTAACTGAACAATCCTATTCCCAACCGCTCACCGTCCATGGTGGTGCTCGCTCCCGTCTGAAGAACTAATCAATCAAAGGCGGTTGAGTTGCAATAAAAAAAAAGAATAAAATAAAAATAAAAGCCTCTAAATAAAAGCTCTAGTAGAAACCAGTGGCAGCGCTCCCCCAGACACCCAACAACAGGAGAGAGAGGAAGGGGAGATTCACTGGACTTCTGCCATCACACTTCGACACACCGACCACAGCAGAAAAAACAGCCGAGTCCCAGGCGCATTTTCCCCGCTGCTGTTCCCAGCCGCCTCGCGAATCGGTCAACAAAAAAAAAATAAAACCAATCCCTCTATGAACGGCTCCCCATCCAGGTTAATTCCTTCGTATTCGCCGTTTGTAGCCGAGCACCGCGCTTTGCTTCTCTGTGTGGGAACCGATACAATGTAGTCAGCCAGCAGCAGCAGCAGCAGCAGCAGGGGGAGCGGCTAGGAAAGCCAGGACACACCGATTCCTGCTGGATTGAACTGAAAGGAAAAGCTGGAACTGGATCAGGCGGAGCGAGTCTGATGATTTTCAAAGAGAAAACGTCCTCCCTTTGAAGCCAGCTGCTATGAGCTGACACACACAGGGGCGTTTGTGTAGCTGGTGGATGGGGGGTTAGGACTTTAGAAATACTGAGGTCATCAGTTCAAGTTGCATCAGTTTAAAATTGCTTTCAAAGATGTCCTCTCATAGGTCAGCAATGTCGCTGTGCTGGGAAATTTGTAAGTTTGCTTAAAGTATGTATCTACCTCCAGAATCACAAACATAATAACACACACACACACACACACACATACACACACACACACACAATGCACTTCATTTAATTGGATTTTGAAATAATACATTTCTTTTCAGGGGCTTAGCTAGATGGGGGGCCAGGGGTGGCCCTGACCAATCATTGGCCACCCCTGTGGCCATTTTTTCCCTTTTTTGGGGCGATAATCTTTCGATCGGTCGAACTTTCTGCCTAATCGTGCATCGTGTCGTGTACAGGGGGTTATGAGCGGCGATCAGCCCTCACGACAACCTCCGGATCAGGAATTGTGAGGTCGGGCGAATATCAATCATGTTTGATTTTCTCCCGACCGTCGTGGGCAAATCCCTCAGGGCGCAAACAAGGATTCTTCTTTTTCTTCTTCCCCTCAGATGTAAACACAGCGGCGTGGCAGGGATGCAATGAATGAAATGCAGTTCTGTCTGTACAATTGACAGACTATAGTAGCAAATGTCTTTTTTCCAAATACATCATCGCCTTTTCTTTTAAGGGCTTTCAGCACAAACTGCCAAGGCAGCATGTTTCACTATAATGAGCTTTATATTCCCCTTCTATTTGTTTGGCTTCCAGATAGATGAGTCAGAGCAGCTCCATCTCACTGCGGAGCTCAGTCCGACGTGGTTTTTAGTCGTACAGTGTGAGCAGGTAGATCGCATCAGAGTGTCGGGCCGGACATAAATCGTGAGCTGTGAACTCACACTGTACCGCTAAACCCTGCGATTAGCCGTACAGTGTGAGCAGCAGCTGCGTGCAACAATTGAAAAAAATCGCGCAGTGTACGCCCGCCTTAATACAGACAGTGGCAGCAGTAATAATCTCAAGTGGAATATTCAAAACATTTTAATTTTTCATATATTACCAATTACTTGACAACAATGGTGTAAATATCGGTAAGTAGAGACTGCAGTTGCTTAGGGGCCCCCGACCTCTTAGGGGCCCCGTCACTGACTCCTGGTAGGAATCTTACGCAATTGTAGACTAGGACGACTGTTTGCGGATGTAATTGTGCAAAAAATTCTTATTTTACCCACCTGATGCTAGTTTGTATTTGTACTGCAACACATGCCAGATTTCAACATGATTGTGAGCCGTTTAAATGCGACACCAATAGCAAAGCAGGCAGTGGTACCTTTAATTACTAAGTTAATAACTGTGTATAGTTCATTAGACGGTTGGTAAAAAATACGCTCATATAATATTTCAAACCGCAATAAAGATCTTAAAAGAACGATGTATTTGAGCATTTTATTTTTTACACTACGACTTGAAATTATGGGTAATCCAGAGTGTAGATTAAAACCATAACCGTTACATACAATGTGTTAGGGATGGGGGTGTTGTACTTCGTATGGGGCCCACCCAGATAATGTTGCTTATTGTTGGGTTGTTACGCCATTGCTTGACAACAAAAACCCTGTGGTTAATTATGCTCATCAATATACTAACATTAAAGATTATAAATACAGAATTCATGCTGTTTTCAGAACTAGATTTTTTATTTAATGGGGTAAAGAGAAAATAACGTGTCTGCAAGTCATCTAGGAGTCTTTAGTGACATCATAGATAAATAAGTATTTTAATAAAAATGTGCTAAATAATCAATTCATGTAGATATTAGTATTTGTAAATGTCAATTTTATGCTGAAGGATTATTGATAAAAGTAGGTAAGTAATGACAGAACTCAAACCTGAAAGACTTTTATCCACTACACCTTTAATTTAGATATATGCGTCTATTTGTTAGCAGAGGCTGTAGGAAAGTATAGTTAGTCTATATTTTGAAAATATGGATGTTGCGCTCATTAATTTTCCTGTTGGAACAATGTAGCCTCCAAACAAGAAACATTGGATCAACATTGTTGTCATACTGTACTCCTGAAAAAAAACCTCCACATTGGCTAAATTTGACCGGATATGGAGTCCCTTCTTAGACATTTTAACCAGATTAGACCTGAGAGACTGATCAATATTAATCTTTACTGTGTTTCAATTATACCAATATTTTTGTTGTGCTCTTTTCTCTTAATTCTGACCTTTCAAAAATATTGTTCATGCTTAATATAGTACTACAGTGCACATGTGTTACTAATGGAGAGAGTGGGTGGGGTGTGTGGGTTTGTTTTTGCTGTCTCTTTTTCATTTTTTTGAGGTTCCAAAAATAAGAAAGAAAAAGACACCATTTTACATTGGATGTTGATTTTATTTGGACATATGTTCTGAATAAATATATACATAACAAAAATTACACACATTTGTTACTTAAGTAGAAGTATAGATCCTGCAGGTTAAAAACACTCTGAGAAAAGCTGAAGTATCAGATTGGCCTCTTTACGTAAGTAAAAGTGAAAAAGTATGTGCACCAAAAACTACTTAAAGTATAAAAGTATAAAGTAACCTAAAAAAAAACAGCCAGATGCCACTATGTGAATTGAAAGCTCAATTATTCGACTATTAATAAAAATTCTTTGAGATAGGGCCAAGGATGAGGGAGGTCTTGTTGGTCTCCATCTCTGAATGTCCGCCCTAACCCCTAAATCCCTCAATCACTATACAGAGCTGGGACTATATAGTGGACTTTATAGTGAACCAAGTTAACTGACAGTTCAGACAGATGATCACTACTTTTTGCTCCATTGGTCACATAACTCCTCCTCCTCGGCACTGTGCCAGAGCCATCTTTGTTATTAGTCGCTGTTGTTGGGTAGGAACAGCCTATGCTGACAACAGGCTGCTGTGACTGCAAATCCCATAATGCTCTGCACGGAGAGCTCCCTGTGCAAAGCATTCTGGGATATATCTGCCTCTTCTGAGGCATTTCTTTTCTTCTCATACACTTCGTAGACACTTATTCTCTTAGGACCCTCAGCGATTTTCAAAGAACTGCGGTGAGAAAGGTGAGCTTCAATGACTGTCTGAAACCGTAGCTGACCACACATACACATACTGAAGGTGTGCATGCACATAAAACAATAGCTAACAGGACGAGCACGTAGGACGGCCTTACGTAAACATATCAACAGGATTATTGGCAATTAGCAGGACCACTTATTTAAAGCATCCACCCGGAAATAAAAGATCGTCCTCTATACCTTTAAGTGTCACTGTATGGCTTGTCAAAAAAATACATTTCAGATTTCTTTTTTTGGTTATTTAATGCATAGTAATGATGCCCAACATTTTAAGTCTACAAATTTACAAAACTGCAGAATATATTACACCAATACATATAATTTGTCATCTTTCTAATGACAAATTAAGAAAACAAATGTTTCAATTAATGTATAAAAAATGCCTTTTAAAAAAAGATTAAAAAAAAAAATACTACATCCATTACAGGACCTGTAAGGTGTGATTTTCTTATGTATCAAAAATCACATCTGATTGGAGACCGGTTCTTCTTTTATTATTTGTAAACTTTGTAAGCTACACCATTACCCTACAGAGTCAAAGAAAAACCAAAACAAATATTGACCTTATTGTTGTTGTGGCAAATGCAGTAGATTTTATATTGAAACTACAAAAGGTAAAGTATTTCTTCTACATCAATTTGTTCTTTTACATTCTTGACATTTATTTGTATTCTTTATGCATCTGAGTTTTAAAAACGCCAGAACCTGCACATAAAGTCTGTTTACCAGCATCATTTATAGCCATTAAAGTGGATGTTATTATCAAACAGTTACTCAGTACTCAAGTAGCATTTTTACCAAATACACTCTTAATTTTACTTTAATTTCTTGGATGACTACTTTGTACTTCTGCTGGTGTTAAAAAATTTTTTCATTAGTGCGTCTCTTACTTGAATACAATTTTTGGGTAGTCTACCCACCTCTGATCTAAGATTATAATGTTCTTAAAAATATTTTCTATAACAAGCATTTCTCAAATTGGATCAAGAGTGCTTTTATATTACATGTCTTTGATAGAACAAGACTAGACCTATGTTCTGAGGCAAAGTTCTGATCTACATTTAAGAACTCTCAGGAGACTAGTATTAATGTTTGATGGTTTTATCGAAATACAAAAAAACGGAGACATCTGGTTTATTACAATAAGGTGGATCACTGCGGGAAACAGGAGACGACCTAAGAAAATAAACAGGTAAATATAGAGGAGAAGAAATCAGAGACAATGATCTTACTGGTCAAAATCAAAGCAGTTCTACACAATGAAAATATGTAACCATTCCCATTGATTCTGTTTGGGGAAAGAATAGCCATTCTGCAGGACCTTGCATGTTAATAAGATGAAGCGGCACTTAATACTGCTGATGTTTGGTTTTAGCCAATCACAGTAACAGTTGAAATAGCGGCAGACACCATGAGAAACCAGACTCAATCTGTCATAGATTAAGCCATAGGTTATGACTGAACAGATGTGATGGCAGCAGCAATGCAGACGTCCTCCTGTGTCGCCGTGTTTATTTTGAGTCAGCTGTGGGCTCAGCAGCTTCTGCTTTCATCACACCTATACAGTACATCCTGTCTCAAACAATAATATTGCAACACCATTTAAGCTGGAGCTGTAGACGACAGATTCTCCTATCTTTGTAAACGTAAATACTGTGAGAATTCGGTGTGCTGGAAGGGTTAGATTATGGTTTCGGGAGGTTAAAACAACCGATATGAGAAGCTTCACTGAAGAAGATC